TTATTACCTCATCTCGCCCCGTTCTTTTTGAATTTGTCAAATATGATCCAGCTTTAACCACTTTAAGATCAACAGCTATTGTCGAGTGATGTTAAGAGTTCGCTCTCCAATAGGTCACTGGAATAGATTTCCCTGTGTACAATCGGCTGATTTCGTAATTGCTTACTATGAAACCATCGCTCTTTGTGCCTACTTGTTGTTCGTGAAATTATCATATTGATTTCGTAAGGGGAGCTGGTTTTAAACTAACTAACTAACTAATGATACTTCTGAAATAGTTGTGATAACAATGTAGACGGGTATAAATCGAAATACTGGTAGTCATAGTCGTAGTGGATTTGCTTGTTGGTGCGCATCACTCACCAACAACCGCAAAACTGAAACAAGCTATACCGGTCATAAATTTGAAAAGAGAAGCCAGTGTAGCAGCAACATTGCACAATCTATGTCCTGGACGATTGCGCTACATCTCAACTGGTTGCCTACTGCAGACAAATACAATGTTTACACGGGATTTGGGAATGCATTATCGTGAATTACAAACCACTGAGCTCATCGATTGCCAAGCATATGTTGATGACGCAACACCTCGTTGATCGCGAGAATGCATTTCGAGTGATTTCTCTACTGATGATAACACACCAGAATGCTCAAAATCGCCTATTCGATTGCAATAAACTGATGGAGACCGCTTCTGTAGTAACAAAAAGACTTGTTCACCACCTTGGCTTTACCCTGGTGACGCTTCTCCCATTCGCATATGTTTATTTTGTAATACATTCCCAAACCCTATATAAACATTATATTTGTCTGCAGTAGGCATCAGTTGAGGTGCAGCACGATCGTCCAGGACCTAAATCGCGCAATGTTGCTGACTTCTCTTTTCAAACCGTAAAACTGGTTCTTTGCTTTCAGAAAAATTTCGCCAGTCGGCATTCCTTATTCGGTGCTCAAAAGCTGTTCACTTCGGTTTAACACCGGTTTCTCTCTCTCTCTCTCTTTCACGAATGCCTTAAGTGGCCCCCCGTTAGACCCACAATGAGATTTATCAATTTACACTGGCCTTTCGCGTAATTCACAATGGGAACAAACACATTCGAAACTGTATGATCGCA